ATAATAATAATAATAATAATAATAATAATAATAATAATAATAATAATAATAATAACAACAACAACAACAACAACAACAACAACAACAACAACAACAACTAACAATAACAATAACAAATTAAAATAAAGTTGAGTTAGATCTTACAATGACACTTCAATGCTTTCCCAAATTTATAATTTTCCGAATGTAAATATAACAATTTTTTTTTTTTGGTAGTAGACTAATAAAAGTAATAATAGTAAAGATGTAAAATTTATAAGAGAGTAGGAATTTTTTTTTCTTTTCACAAAAGAGAGCAAGATTGTAAGATTTGTAGGAATTTGAGAATTGAGAATTTGAGAGTAAGAAAATTAGAGAATAAGAGAGAAGAGATGAGTTGATGAATTGTGAAATTTGGAGGAAATAATGAGGTATTTATAGGGGATTTGGGTGGGAAATGGGGTGGGAAACTAGCCGTTTATAGCTGTGGGAAAACGGCCAAAAACGGCTAGTTTCCAACGGCAATTTGGCACGGGCCGTGTCGGGCCGTGCCTGGCGGGCTCGTGTCGTGCCGTGTCGTGCCCGACCGTGCCTTATGCCGTGCCGGCGGGTCGTGCCAGCATGCCGACCCACGTGCCGGCCGCCCGCCGTGCTACGTGTCGTGCCTCGGTGCCTGTGCCGATTTCCAAAAAAGTGTTCACAGCACGGCCCACGGCCCACAGGTGGGCCGTCGTGCCGTGCCGTGCCGGAGTCGTGCCGGGCCCGTGCCCATGTTTACTTTTCACCACCGGGCCTCGAAACCTCAAAATTTCCTCAAAAAGCATGGATTATTATAGCCTTCAACTTTGTAATTTTTTGACCATTTTTCCTAGAGAAAAAAAATTGCCTAGATGTTTATTATGGTATCTAATACCCTCCAGGAGTCCAATTGGGTCAGTGGAACCGTCCAATATGCCCTCAAACGGTCATTGTACCCGTTCACAACTTGAAGTGAATTCGTAAACTCAAGCCTACCATGGACGTTTATGACAACATATAATGATTATATGTGGTTTCAAACGGTATTATATAGCCCCGAGATGTATCCCTTAGAGTCTCAAGACTTTTCGCCACAGGCCCCGAAACCTCAAAATTCAACCAAAAACGTGGATTATAACCTTCAATTTTGTAATTTTTTGACCTTTTTTCACCCAGAAATAAAAATTCCCGAGATGTTTACCATGGTCCCTAATATACTCCGTGAGACAAATTGGGTCGGTGAACCGTCCGATATGCCCTTAAACGGTCATTTTACCCGTATACAACTTGTAGTGATTTCGTAAACTCAAACCTTATGACAACATATAATGATCATATATGGTTTCAAACGACATTATATAACCCCGAGATGTATCCCTTAGGGTCTCAAGCCTTTTCGCCACCGGGCTCCGAAACCTCAAAATTCCACAAAAAGCGTGGATTTACAGCCTTTAATTTTGTAATTTTTTTACCTTTTTTCGCCCGAAAATAAAAATTCCCGAGATGTTTACCATGGTCCCTAATATACTCTGGGAGTCAAATTGGGTTGGTGGAACCGTCCAATATGCCCTTAAACTGTCATTTTACCCGTTCACCACTTGTAGTGATTTCGTAAACTCAAGCCTACCACGGACGTTTATGACAACATATGATAATCATATATGGTTTCAAACGATATTTTATAACCCTGAGATGTATCCCTTAGTCTTTCAAGGCTTTTCGCTACCGGGTCCCGAAACGTCAAAATTTCCTAATAAATCGTGGATTATAGCCTTCAATTTTGTAATTTTTTGACCTTTTTTTGCCCGGAAGTAAAAATTGTCAAGATGTTTACCATGGACCCTAATATCCTCCGGGAGTCAAATTGGGTCGGTGGAACCTTCCAATATGCCGTTAAACGCAATTTGACCTATTCATAACTTGCAGTGATTTTGTAAACTCAAGCTTACCACTGACGTTTATGACAACATATAATGATCATATATGGTTTCAAACGGCATTATATGATCCCTAGATGTATCCCTTAGGATGTCAATTAAGGCTTTTCCCACCGGGCCCTGAAACATCAAATTTTCCTCATAAAGTGTGGATCATAGCCTTCAATTTTGTAAATTTTTGACCTTTATTCGCCCAGAAATAAAAATTGTGGAGAGGTTTACCATGGTCCCTTATATCTTCCGAGAGTCAAATTGGGTTTGTGGAACCGTCCAATATGCCCTTAAACGGTCATTTTAGCCGTTCACAACTTATAGTGATTTCGTAAACTCAAGCCTACCTTGTACGTTTATGACAACATATAATGATCATATATGGTTTCAAACGGCATTATTTGACCCCAAGATATATACCCTAAGGTCTCAACACTTTTCACCACCGACCCTCGAAACCTCAAAATTTCCTCAAAAAGCGTGGATAAAATTATAGCCTTCAATTTTGTAATTTTTTAACCATTTTTCCTAGAGAAAAAAAATTGCCGAGATGTTTATTATGGTATCTAATACCCTTCAGGAGTCCAATTGGGTCAGTGGAACTGTCCAATATGCCCTTAAACTGTCATTTTACCTGTTCACAACTTGCAGTGATTTCGTAAACTCAAACCTACCACGGACGTTTATGACAACATACGATGATCATATATGGTTTCAAACGACATTAGTTGACCCCGAGATGCACCTTTCGGGGTCTCAAGGATTTTCTCCACCAGGCCCCGAAGCCTCAAAATTTCATCAAAAAGCGTGGATTATAGCCTTCAATTTTGTAATGGTGCATTTAACATGCATTTCGCTATTCCACTCTTTGAAATCATCCGACCACTCGGGTCGTTGGAATAATAACAGACGACTGAATTTTTTTGCTATTTTAACCTTTTTTCACCCGGAAATAAAAATTGTCGAGATGTGTACCATTGTCCCTAATACCCTCCGAGAGTCCAATTGGGTCGGTGGAACCATCCAATATGCCCTTAAACGGCCATTTGACCTGTTCATAACTTGTAGTGATTTCGTAAACTCAAGCTTACCACTGACGTTTATGTCAACATATAATGATCATATATGGTTTCAAACGGCATTATATGGTCTGGGGGTTCGCCGGCATCAGGGGAAGGTTTGGGCGTCGGGAAGAGGAAGGGGGAAGGTGGCTGTTTGGTGGTTTCGATGGCTGGAGATTTTGTTTTAAATTGTTTTTTTTTAATAAATTAAATTATTATTTAATGAAATATTGGGCCCCACTTAGCGGAACCTTAACGGTTTCTGTTAAGTGGTAGTGATTTTTAACAAACTCTATTTTAGGTGGTAGTAAAGTAAAAAAAAAAATAAAAAAAATTAAATAGGTAGAAAATGTGAAGCGTGGTGTTTAAAGTGATAGCAAATGTCAAAATTTCCTTAACCCGAGACCTAATTTGACCCGACCCAAACCCGATTTGAATGCCCGAATTGACAGCTCTACCAACAAGGGTATTATTTGGCTCACAATTAAAAACATGGGGAGTTGAAATTCTTTGGAGTTGTTTGGTTGACAAATTCATGAAAAGTCTGCCCACAAAATGGAGGTATTTAATTACCTAGGTAAGTTGAACTTTCTAAGAGCATTTCTACTTTTCATGGTTAATCAATCACAATTTAACATTTCTTAAAATTCTAATTACTTGGGAATATGAATTTTTAATGAATTTGCATTTCCCACATCCAACCAAACGAGACCTAAGTGTTAGCTTACTTGGTTAAGTGTTTAACCCAAATCCTTAAAGTTTGGGATTTGAATGTTACCAATGAGTATTTAGTAGTAGGTATTTTCTTATCCTCTCCTATACTCTTGAGTGCATGACTTGTGAAAAAAATGAATAACTACGAAGTAAATAAAATACAGTATTATTTGAGGGTTAAGGTAAAGGGGAAAAAATACATTATCTATACAACTAATAGTATAAGAAATCCGTTGTTTTAAAAAAAAAAAAAACAATAATACTCGTATAAGAAATCATTTGGGTATATATTTCCAAAAAAAAAAAAAAAAAAAAAAAAACCATTTGGGTATAGGTTTTGGCCCAACACTGTAGCTTATATAAGTTTTAACCCTATTTTTCTCTCATTCGTTTTAAAAACATATTTCCAAATTTCCCCATCAAAAAATAATAATTTTAAATTCCCCTTTCTCTTTTGCTTGATCGCTCGCTTGCTTGGTGCCAAAAAGCTGATGAACAGACAAATAGTGTGGTTTCCATTGTCAATTTCACAGGTTTGTAAAAATAAAAAAAAAAAACCCCTTAATTTCCCTTAAATTTGCATTTACATAATTTCTATACATCTTCTGTTACTTTCTACGCATATAAAAAAAAATAAAAAAAAGAAAAAAAAGAAAAGAAAAAAGAGCACTTTCGAAGATTCTCGATCATACATTTTGTTTGAAGTTAATTTCACCCTGATCACTCTATGGCCCGGAATTCCTATTCTTTGCAAAAATCAAAATTTTTGATTTAATCAGATAAGATTATAAGAATTTCTGTTTTTTTGTGAATATGTTGTAGAATTGTGTAGGTAATTCATGCTATACGTGTTATTTTGTTAAGTTTTCATCTGATTATTAGCTTTTTCGATGATAAAATGCAAAATGCACGGCAAAGAAGTTGCAACGTTTGCCTTTCCACGGTCTTTAACAAAAAAAAAAAAACATTACATTTCCAAGTTTATTGTAGTTACATACTCGGTACTCCGTAGGACCGTAGTACCAAGTATGTGTCTATGCCCTCTTAATTGCAACCCGTTTGTAATTCACGGTCTTTAGGATGTTCTGTCCCAATGTACATGGTTTTTTCTTGACACATTGATGAAATACTAGGAATATCATGGTTTATGTTGTATTTCTTATACAACTTTAGGTGTAGCCGTGTAGTATAGTGCACTGCCTGATTGAGCATGTCAAGTGTTACCAACATTTCTTGTGATTGTACCCGTGTAGGGTCTTAACTCGGTAGTCATCACTCGACACCCTATTCGAAATTTTGTATGTCTAGTCCAGCTACACGATCAGGGAGGCTGTTGTCCACGCAGCATGAACAACCGGGAAGGGCAAAGTGGACAATGTCCCTTACTAAGGTGCTAGTTGATTTGATGGTTGATCAGATTAATCAGATGAACAGTCAAAAGATTTCGGTGGGTAACAAATGGAAGTATATGTGTGATGAGTTTTACAGGAGAACTGGCTTGAGATGGGATAGAGAGCAGCTCAAGTATCGATGTTCCGTCTTGAAGAAGATGTATGCTACTGTCAAGTCACTTCTTGATCAACAGGGCTTCTGTTGGGATGAAAATACTGGTGCTATTACAGCTGAAGATAAAGCATGGGATCAGTACATTAAGGTACAGCTTCATCATTTGAGTTTATTGGTTAAGAAATATTTTCAAAAATGTTGTCTCGAGTGTTACATATATTAGTTGCATTAAATTGTGCATTATAAGTTCTCTGCATTCCTTCCCTCTTGTCCCTCCTTACCGCGCTTGAAGGTTCTTCTTGGCAGTGGAGTAGTGTGCACTAGTGATACACCCTTCAATCTCAGGAAGGATTTACGGTCTTTTCTTGTCAGAACTTCTCACATTCTTTAACTAATGTAAAGATGGACAATACGAGTATTCATTAGCTTCTGTTGGTGTTTCATTTCCTTCTTCCCCTTCTGTTAGTATCACTAGACGCGTGCTTTTCTGTTGATCTACTATATGTTGGTCTGAATTAGGAACTGATATTGTTCATCATTTTCTTTATCAATTCTTCTAGGGTCTTGTGACATGTTTTACAAATTAAAAAGAAGTTGATTTTTTCAACTTACATTGTATGAGTAAAGGTGTAATGTAAGTTATCATTTTGTGAATGATGGAATCCTGTTAATGTGCAGGAACATCCTGATGCTGATACTTTGAGAGCCACTGGCTGTCCAATCTATAAGCAATTATGCATATTATTTTCCGAATCTGTCAAAACTGAAAAGAGTAATGGACTAGCTGAAAAAGGAGGTCTGGATCCAGTGAGCAACGTTACAGAGGACTGCTCAGCAGAATCAGAGGAAGTGGCTTGTGTGGCGAATGAGAAAGAGAAGTCTCTATGTGTTGAAACCCCTAACCAAATCAACCATAAGAGAGGACGGAAGGGGCTTGAGGATGTTATGGCTGATGCAATATTCGAGATGGCAGCTGCATCAAGAATGAGGGCAGAAGCAATTCAGCAACGCAGTCAGAGATATACCATATCCGAGTGTGTAAATGCTTTGGATGAGTTGGGTGACATTGATAAACAGGTCTACTTTGGTGCTCTTGATCTTTTTAATAATCCAGGAGCAAGGGAGATGTTTTTGTCACTGAAAGCTGATAAGCGACTGATGTGGTTACAGGGTAAGTGCAAAGTATCCTCTAGTTCATAAAGATAGGTTAGCTTGCTGATATACATACACTCAAGTACTAAGCTGTGGCTTACACCGGACTATGGTTAGTACATAGCCGAGATTTAACAAAACTACAGCACATATGAATAATTCATCCAATGGCTAGCACATAGCACTTGCATGCTTCATCGTTCATGTCAATAGATTTTGTTCCATTTGAAGAACTAGATTTAGCCCGATACCATTGATAGGGTCTATAGGTGGATCGTGGATGACGAAAAAGTGATTCGTAGAAACTAAAAAGTAAGAGCATAAGATTTGCTCCTCACATGTAGGAGACTAGCACCATGATGGCAATGCATTCTTTAGCTGGTTGTTTTGTATGCCTATGGCAACTTTTACTCCATTCTTTTCAGTATATTGGATGGAATAATTGGGGAAATATAAAAAGCGAGGCGGTTAGTGCATATAACGTGTATATTCACGAGAAAAACACAAAGTTCTGCACTTACCAGAAAGTTAGTGTAGTATAAATTTGTTAGTACTAATCAATTGCAAAACGGTGCAATTTACAAATCTGACAGATTCACAGTTATGCAATTAGATTCTGTACTGCTGCTGGTGTTTGTTATTGCTCATAGCACTCTCAAAACTTTACTAAAACTTGCTTTAAATACATAATAATAATACTAAGTTTAAACATCTAAAATTCTAAAAAGCAGTAAATACTAATAGGTCTCCAATTTGCTAATACTAAAGCTTTTCATTTAATCAACTAAAACATCCTCCTAATGCTAAGATGGAGCTATACAAAGGGGGCGGATGGGGGGCAGGGGAAAGATTTGGGGAAAAAAGGTCACCTATTACTTGGTTTTAATGGCGTCCCTGAGTCAGCTTCAGCTTCTACGCCATCATTAATCTTTTGACATCGAGCTCTTGATCCATATTTTTGGCCTTGTTGTATACCTTCTCGAAAGCTTGCTTACAGACGCTTGAGAAGCCTGTCATTGCCTGAAAAACATGGGGAAGCCCCATCTGCATGTTGTTTAGTGTCATGGCCCTAGATACACTAACTGCCTTTTCATGCTTAGCTTTCTCCTCCTCTGCCTTGGCTTTCAACATGTCCACTTCTGCTCGTTTTTCTCCTACAAGGTCCCGCCCCTTTCTTGCACTTGACATCTCCAGCATCGAGTATGGTCCATACTTTGCCTCTAATGTCCTTAGCTCAATTGCCCTTTTCTCGAGTTGCTTATTGGCTGTCTCTGATCTCTTCTTCTGTTTAAGTTCTTCAGCTTGTTGAATCACAATGGCATGGATCACAGTCCACAAACTTTTGATTCCCTCCGACGCCACTTTGTCAGGGACATTATCGATTTCAAGCTGCCATTGCTCACAAAGGGAGTAGATTGTGGAGTCTTGGACTGATCTCATTAGTGGGTTTTTGTTGAACTGAAAGAGGCTCAAACGAAGCCACCCAGTGAGAGAACGGATGTAGTCCCGTTGAGCTTTTACTACGCTGCAAAAGGATTGATGCCATTGTTGGAGCTCCACCTCGAGTTGCAATGTGGACTGACGATGGATCTCAGATGTGGGTTCGTTGGATGGTATGGCATTGAGGAACTTCAGCTGATCCACTATGTGCATTTGGACTTGGTGACATTCGTACATGCTCCTCCACATGCACATAAACCTAAACATCGTCCCAAAAAAAAAAAAAAAAAAACTAAAACAATTAGCATGTGGATCAAAGAGATTACAATAGACTAAGAAATAGGAGCATTGATCAAGGCACAGGAGTTAAACTGGAAACCATTCCTGAATGTAAATTTAAAGGACCCTCCAAACCTCAAAACAAACTATTGCAAACACAAAAATCACGACATTACCTATTAGTCAATACTTCATGCAAACATGACATAAATTACATATTAGTCCATAGTGATTTTACTGAATACAGCCAAAAGAATCAGTGTACAGGGAATTAGTTCTAGGACTTGAAAAGGACTAAACAGAAGAATGCTTTGAAATGTTAATTACGCTTAAATTAAGGCTATTCATTTACTATGCAAGTAATTTTCTTTCATCTCCATCTAATTCAAGTATAACTAGAGAAAACAATAGTCGGAGTTCAACCCCGTTGTTGAATCAGAAGTTGATCCAACGACGGGGACATAAAATAGCGAAAAAGACTAGACCATGATGCATGTGGACAAGTCAGACCACGTTTCTCCAAAGAGTAAAATTCATTACATCCTTTACACATCAGAAGTCCGGATATAAAGAACAAAACACCTCAATAAGATGCAAAAGTGCAACATAAACAGTCAAGTTACATTAAATTTTTGTGTTTTTTTACAGAATGGTCCAATTCCAACCCATACGTAGTACTATATATGACTGCACGCTGCAACAATATACTTATATACACCTCAATTATAGTACGGGCTAAGAAGTACTTGTTTTTATTTTTATTTTTATTTTTTTAAAAAAATCTCTAATACGTGTTTTATGGTTTACCAACCAGCAATCTTACGTATTTCAAACCTAATTTTGTCTATTTTAATTTTCTTAAGTACTACTAAAAAACAGGAGTATATTTTGGATTATATGCAAAAAGTGGGTCAATTCAAGTCTTAGGAGTAGTAAAAAGTGAAAATAAAGGCAGTCAAAAGTCTTAAAATCAAAGTATCTCTTTCTTCAGCATGGGATCTGTTAGTACTAACCTACTGTGGTAAATAATGAACAATGGCACATCTTCTGACCTTGAAAATTTTCCAAATAGTTGACCTCACCCATTTTGTTTCAAATTAAGTGCTCTATTTTTCTTTTTTAAGTCGTTTCAAATTACTCGTAACTTTCCTATTTATGGTTTAAAAAAAAATTATCTCTGCCTTTTTACTCAATGGAAACCCACACTTGTTTTCTTTCACTAATTTTTAAATCTTTACCAAAGCATAAACTGTAAAGAAAAAAGTTTGCTTAGAGAACTATTGCTTTATTACTTTGCCTCCAAATAATTGTTAATTGATTAGTAATGAGAAGCACGCAAAGATTAGCAAAGTATAATCAAAGTCTCTAAACTAAAGGCATAATCTCATTACTCATGCATATGCAATCATTCAAGAGTCAACAATTAAATGGGTTGTAGCCGAGGAGGTAGTCATTGCTAACAATGTAACGTTTCTTGATGCTAATACAACACGGTATCATACTGGGATTCCTCTTACTAGTCCTAATTCCATAATCTCAGATTATTTTCATTGACAATTAAGCATACCATGTGACATTTATCATCAACTATTCAAATTAAAAAACGTTAAACTTATACCAATTGAGATAATGAGATCAATGTTGGAAAGGTAGTAATTTAGCATTAATCAAGCAAAATGACAATCAACTAAGGACAACATAGTGCACGTGAATCACAATTATACATTGGCACTACCACTGCCTAAAACATGTGATCATACATTCCAAATTTATGCATCATTAGACCATATTTCTATTTTTAGGCCAATTGAATTAAAATTATCACTAATTATAATACTAAATTTGTTAATTAGAAAAAGAAATTAGTGAGAATATATACCCTTTAGCAATGTCAAGGAGTTGAGGGTAAAGCTCAGTTTCCCTTAATTTGATGATCTCATTAGAAGTTGTTTGAATGGCTTGACTAGCAACCTCAATTTGTGACTCTAATTTCTCCACTTCTTTCTTTGTTTTCTCCGTTTTAAAATAATCTGCTCTCTTCACCTCCAATCTCCTTAGTTGTTCCACCCTTATCTCATGCTCCATCTTTATTTTCTCCGCATTCTGATCCAATCAATAAAAATTCAAATCTCATTAATAATAATAATGTCTCGCGAGCACGTGTTATCCAAGACCTGAGATCAAATCACGACTACATGAAAGTTGAGAATTGACTAGAACACTACCTTGACTTCATGGAAGAGTTTCTTCTCCCAAGCATAGAGTCTCTCAATAGTAGAACAATGACTACTACCATTAACATTATTAACCATTCCCATTCTTCCAACCATTATGTCATCTCCTAATAACTTACCACATCCTAACCCATTTAACTTACCACTTGAACCCCACAACATTGGGCTCCAACTTGAACTTAAATTCCTCCCATTATTATACATTTTCCCTACAAAATCGATAACACTTACTTTATCATTGAAACAATTAACAAATTACATGAAATCATTTCAAAACAAGAATTCAAAAAGATAAATAAATACCTGAGGAGTTTAATTGATGGTAATTAGTAGAAGAAGTAGAGAGATTAGAAAAGGTATGAACCTCTAAAACCCCATTAACAACACTAGCAGCATCAGCAGCTCTTAAAAAATACTCATCTAACTCCTTAATAATCTCAACTAATTCTTTCCCTTGTCTCGAAACAACCACCGCCATCTCACTCTCTTTCGAGAACCCACTAACCACAGATGGCGGCGCCGCCACATTCGCCGCCGCCCTCATCGGAGTCACCGTAACATTAGTAGTATTAGTGGCGGAAATCGTATTAGTAGTAGTTCGAGCCTCCTCTTCCCACTCCTCCTCCTCGGTCCCACTCCTCGGACCCGAAGACGGGACAAAAGGGTCCCAGAAATCCCACGTGGAACCGGAAACCGGCGGCGGCGGTGGCGGCGGCGGAGGAGGAAGAGCTGAGGTGTTTGTTGTGTTTGAAGTGGTGGTTGTCCATGTATCGGTGCTCGGTGACATTGATGGTGGAGGTGGTGGTGTTGGTGGGAGCGGCGGTAGAGGCGGCGGCGACGGTGGGATTTCACGGCGGTTGAGGTGGTGGTGGTGGTGGAGGAGAGAGGATTCTCCGGTGGAAAATTGGAGGAGAGCGGAGCCGGTTGAACGAAGAGAACGAAGGTAAAAAGAATGAGAAGATGAAAGGAATAATCTAGCTTCAACTAATTGTTTCATGTATCGTTTTCTTGCTCTGCATCTTGATACCATTTCTTGTCTGTCAATTCTTGATACACAACACCCCATTTTTGGATTTTGGATTTTTGGGTGGAAAAAATTGGGGTTTTTGAGTGAATTTGGAGATGGGGTTTTTGAGTTATGGAGGGTACGCCATTTTTGAAGAGTTAACAACAAAAGAAAAGAAAAAAGCTCTGTTTTTTAATTGAGAAACTCTGTTTTTGAAGAAGAAGAGTGAAATGAAAAGAAAAGGGTTGAATCTTTTGAGAAGAAGAAAGGGATTCAAACGCTGGGTTTTAAGTGTGATTAAGGTTGCTTTGTTGTGTTTTCTCTCTCTAGAAATCTGCTTTTTTTTTTGGAGGAGAGAGAGAGAAAGGGAGAGAAAGAGAAACAGAGGAGCACAATGAAGCATGGGGCAGAGTGCCGTTAATAGTTGTTTCTTATACCAGTAATTTGGATTTTTTTTAACTTTTTTTTACTGACGATTTTACCCTTGCTTGGGTTTGCATGGATGAAGAATGTTTAATGAGGTAAAATGACAAATGAGTCCTCTCGCAGACAGTGGTTTTGTACTAGGTAATGTTAGAAGTCTCACAACAGAAAGTTTGAACCATGTTGACTACTACTCTGTACTTCAAATCTTCAATACGTTGCATCCTCATATAGTCAACATATAGTCAAATGCGTTAATGTTACTCGTAGTCTCGTATTTATCTTATGATTCTCAAGTATTTTTCATGATAGGTTAAAATTTGGAGTTTTTATACTGGTATTAGGAGTAGTTTATAGCTTACACTACTTGAATCGTGTCCAAAGAAGACAAACTAGGGTTGATTGTTGCCAAAATTGTATAGATTCATATTCGAAATTGGATGCTTGAATTTTCGAAATTAGAAATAAAAAAAAGAAAAAAAAAACTTATACTAAAAAATTAATACATAATTAATGACGGAAAATATCAGGTAATCTGCCAGATTAACAAAACTTGTTAGTCTGGTGGCATGTTATGTAAATATGTACAAAAATTTGGTCTATAGTTTTGTGCTTTTTACGGCTGTTTAATGATTTTATTCAACTTGCCTTTGACACTATTAGTTGACCATCTAAAAGACTATGTACCAAATTATGCATGTGTCCCTCACTTGTAGATGAAAAAACGATTAAATACTCAGATAAATAAATTTCGTTGATTTGGCAAATCAAATGGTCACGACTCATTAACAAACTGAAACTATTTTGTTTTAATATTGATTTTAAAAAGGATTTTACACGGGATAGAACCTATAAACTATAAACTATAAACCAGATTCTTATACCTTTTGGCTCAAAGATTGGATCAATTATTTTCTTTTTACTTCAAACTATATTCCATTTTTTCTAGTTCATATCATATTTTATACACCTCTTATTTTTGTTTTTTTTTGAATCACTTTACACCTCTTATTAGTGTCAGATAATAATGTCAAATTTAGAGATATTTTACGCAACATTAAAAACAAATTAGTACAGTATTTTATTGGATCAGTAATGTAAATGAAACAATAGTCAATTGACCACATAGTTTTATCAAAAAAAAAATGACCATATAGTCCGAAATGTGTGAAATATTATTCAAATATTGTAAAAGATTTCCAAATAAGAAAATGAATTAAGTATTTAAAAACGATTGAAAATGAGAAGTGGAACAAGTATTTATAAATACAGCGAGTAATGTGCCTAAATTTTGAAGAGTATTTGTACAAACTACAATCAAGCGAATGCAGAATGCATAATGCATAATGCATTAATGCACTTAACTAACCTGTGAACAAAGATTTGCAAGGAGACAATGAAAAATATTTTTCTTTAAATAATTGAATTTAATTTAATTTAATTTGGGCGTTAGGGGTATAGTTGTAAATTGATCATTGCAACGGGCATAGCTAGCCTGTTTGCCTATTTGGGAATGTTTCAGTTTCTGATATTAATGGTGTTGGGTGCGACCACATTAATGTGATGACGCGGATTACAAAATTATGCATTTAAATACGAGTTTTTAATGAGCCATCATTTTTTATTTTTTCCCCATTTTTTAAGGAAAGTCGTCAATCGTGTACATCGTACCCATTTAAGTAGGTGAATAAAGACTTCATTTGTTCTTAATAACACCCTATATATATACACGGAGTACTCCGTATTTTTTTTAAACAATTACACCCTATATTTATAACGATGAGACTTTGGCGAAAAAAAAAAGTACACCCTTCATTTATAAATAGATGTATTTTTAAAAAATTTTATACTATTCATATACAAAAGTTGGTGACATATGAGTATTAAAAATTTAAAATGATACTTGTAAATTGATTAAATTTTTGCAATATTCATATACGTATTGTTCATCATTTTCCTCATGTTATTTGCACTTTTTGAGTGTGTTCTCTTGTACAAGTATCTTATTTTGACTTGTAAGAGCTTAGGGAGTATTTAACTTCTTTTGCTTGTTAAAAAATAAAATAAATTTAAAAAAAAAACTTATTTTACTTGCACAAGTGTTTAGCAACTTATTGAAACTTATTTTGTCAACTTGTATATTCGGAATTTTTTTTTTATTTTTTATTTTTATTTTGATACTTAATAAGTGTAGATAAAAATGCTTAAATTTATTAAAACATCGTGGAAGAATTTGTCTTCTTTGAACATTTTTTGTTAAATTTTATTTAAATCTAACTAACTAATTAATCTGTATACGAAAATGTAGAAAACATGTACATATACTTCGTATCTGATTTTAACTTAATTAAACTAATTTTATCTAATTTTTCTTCTAATTTAGGGCTTGTTCTGATTAACTGAACCGAAATAAATTGTTTATGAGAAAATGAAATTAGAAAATGAATTAATCTGATTGGAGCTGAACTAAACTGAATTAAAATGAAATTAAGCTGAAGAACATGCCCTTAATATCATAACAAATCAAATATAACCTTGTATGTATTATACTTTATACGTAAAATCTTTGTACATTTAACTTGCAAAATACAAAGTACAATCATCATGTTGACAGTACAATATTAAATTCAAGCAATCAAGCTATAGTGAGCTTAATTAATACAGTAAGAAACTACGACATGCATGAGAGTGGAGGAAAATTGAATACTCGTATGTACTCGTACTCAATAACTGACAAACTGGATCTCTACTGTCGACTACAATGCAGAAGTTGCCAGCATATTTGCTGCCATGTGCTTTACTGTTAACATGCACATATTAAGATAACTTAAGATGTAATATTGTATGTAAAAAATCATCATGCTAATGGCTATGCTAATGCATTTTCATTTTTGAACATCTAACTTCTTCAATAATTTATAAAATACCCTCTTAGGACTGAACTGAGATGAAATGAATATTTTATGAGAGAGAATAATTAGAAGCTGAACTGAACTGATCGAACTAAACTGAACAGATTGTAGCTGAACTGAACTGATCGAACTAAACTGAATAGATTGGAACTGAACTGAACTGTAATTAAGTAAATGTGAACATGTCCTTAGTGCCTAGTGGTAATCTGTAATTAATAGACATGAAGGATATATTGAGCTAATTTGAATTACCAATGCCACATATATAATACAGTATTATGTGAACGTTTCTTTTTATAAACTACTTGCATTGTATGAGTAATAGATAGTTATAAATATCTCCCTAGATAAAAAAAAAGTTACAAATATCAATCATTAAAATGTGTATTGGCATTCTTAAAAATATCAAATTGATGCAAATAACCAATTTTAAAATAAACAATGTATAAACTTATAAGTCACTTTATAATTTTAAAAATATGGACGATCATAAACGTTATGACTATTATATATGAGGAATTGAGGATGGTATGTTGCCATATTGGTTGTATGTTACACAAAGTGTAAGTAGTGTGGGTCAATGATCACGATTTATCACTTCCATGTGCTAACATCACCAAAAAGTTGAGTGCAGTGAGAATTCCCTTCCCATTCTTGAATCATGATCTAGTTTTTAGTTTCTTACTCACTTTGTTTATTTATTTATAAGTTTACATTATTATTCAAACCTCTTCTTTTGATGATCTTTTATGATTTATACATATTAGCAAATATAGTTATATGCGATCTTATTAGATTAACTCATGAACCAAGCAATAGAATTAGGATCAGAGTCATTTCATGTTGTACTAAACAGATCATATTTAGATATTTATGGGATCTTAAATCTGTATCACTCTAGTATGGATCTTCAATCAAGTCCATACTAGGTTACCAGCTCGTTGAACCAAAAAGGCCCAATTTTAGAATTAGCCGGCCTTAAAGATTTTGAAAAGAGTCAAGCTGCAACCTGTACTAGCCCACTATGATGACTTGTCTATGGGTTGGGTTTGGTGTGCTGCCCGTTTTGTTTGGTCTATGGTTTGTTGTTTCTTTTAGCCTTGTTAGGATGAAATTTAATTTGTTCTTCATTTAATGTACTCTTTGTTAAAAAAAAAAAAATAGAAAAAAATAGCATGAATATTGAGTAAAATAGCATGACTCGTGTAGTTGGTTTGGGCGCTCCTAATCTGTAAGAGATCATAGTCTAACAAGGTCGTCGTTCTTCTTACCAGAAGACTAAAGACTATATTTATGAATAATGCGGATCAATAATAAATCAATTTGCATGCTTCTAACTTCACCAATACAATATGTATTAGGACCCTAACGATTTGCTAATTAAGACTAATCAAATTCTCTCCATACCTTGATGATAGGATCACCTAATAGTTTTATCCATTAGGGTTGAAAGCTAAGAAAAAAAAAGTTAATTGAAATCGATTGCTATTGTTTAACTTGTGTTATCATTGTAAAAAAAGACCATTTAAGCAAAATATTTACTTAAATGAAGAAATTTATACAATTTAAAGAGGAAATTTATACGAGTATATTGTGAAAGGCTTTCTAGAAAAGAAAAAAAGGGAAACGTAGATATTCTAGATAAGAAACCAATACCAAAGGTCAATTAGAATTTGATTCTACCTTAGTGGCTGATCTAATCAAGTTGGATAGCCAACAGCTTTGACACCAATACATTTATACATTACATGTTCAATATATCTATTATTATTATTTTCTCTCGTTTACGATGTGAACGTGTAGAATTGAACAAATTTAATAGTTTATCTATCAATACCATGATAGGATTCGATAGAATTGGTTCCATGTGTTGTGTTGGTGCATCTATGATTTTCCTCCGAAATCTTATTGTGTATTATTGCAACAAGCCTACAACCAATAAATATTTTTTTACGTATCACAGCTCTAAAAGCATAATTTTTGGTAAGACTGATTCTGTGACATGTTATTAATTGATAATATGGATTGGAACGGGGTGTAATTTTAATTTGGAGTCGGATTGCCAAGCGTATTATTGATATTTGATTTATATTTGTTGTCATTTTTAGTAAACCGAACTTGGCACTTGTGCTAGAAGGTTTTTTTTTTTTTTTTTTTTTTTTTTTTTTTTTTTTTTTTTTTTTTTTTTGGTATGTTTATATTTCAATTGCTTGATTACATTTGAAATTGAAAGAATATACACGGTATATATACTTAGTCACTTTACTTATAGACTTTTCCCTTTGCTAGGTTAGTGCCTTTGAATATTAAACAAATGATATAACACCGGTTACATCACTTTGTAACAAATTTTTAGATACCATATATTTTTTCCTTACAAATTTGTTTATTTATTTTTTTATTATGGAGCATGAGAATCCTTGCTTTTTTAGCTACAGGGCAGATTAGAATTTATGAGCACACACTAAAAAAAGTTGCATATTCGGACGCCACTTACAAATTATATCACACATGTACAAGCAATATTTTTAAAATCTGTCTCCTTGCTTATTTAAACAGACGGTTGTTCCAAACAAAGAATAAATCAAGAATATAAAAAAAAAAATTGTTTGAGTTAAAATTTTGATCAAGGCAAAAATGGGAAGAGTACCAATCGTGAAAGAAAACTATTGGAGGGTGATTGAGGCTGCTCGTCGAGACCTTCACCAATCTCTCGTCCAAAACAATAACAACTCTGCTCCTATTCTCCTTCGCTTAGCGTAATTTCTCTCCTTTTGATTAATTATTTGT